TCCTCAGGCTTTTATGAATGATGCAATAAATCTTTGTCAGCCTCATGAACTGCAATCATATTTGGATATCTGGGATTAAACTCTAACCTATGACAGTAAATTGGGGAAAATGACAGGAAGTGAATATGCGTCACATAAAAAAAAAAAAAACATAAAAAAAAAACAAGCAGAGGTTTAATGAACTGTCAGTTTACGGGAAGCACACTTTATTATCATCAGTCACTCAGGGATGTCAAATGTCAGCCAGAGTTGAACATGTGCATAAACTGTTTGTTTGGTAAGTAAATCAATATGTAGGCACATTTGTCTACAAAACCAACCACAATTTTCTTTGCACAAATCAAAATGTTTAAGATCATGAGACACATTAATTAATTTGTTTTATGTTTAATCGGTAGCACTTGTATGTCCATGTACACAACACTCTGTATTTCAGGACCAATAAAAGTGTACCACATCCGTTGCTTCCATCTCTCACACATTACTGGATCTCAATGTAGCGTGAATTAATGTGTGATCAAACCGACAGTGTCTGAGCATGAAGAGGCCAAATGGACTACCGGTAAGTGAAAACAAAAGATCAGAGCTGAATCTTAATTCCTCATTATCACACACACAGACTCTAAAAGCACATGGCATGCGTTTATGTGCGAGTCTGAGTGCGGGTGTGCCAATGAGTTTGTGATTAAAACATGAATTACCATTAACGTATCAAATTATTTGCTCAGTAACAAAGCTAAAAAAGACAAAACAGTTGACATGTAACTCTGTAGATAGAATAGAACATTTATATCTGAATAGAAAATAAGTGCGACAAACAAAACCAATTAGGGTTTACGGTAAGACTGACCCAAAGCCTTTTGTTTGGCAAAAAAAACTGTCATGTCACTGTTTTCTGTGGGAGATTATCGGCTGAATCACACAGGGTCCCGACACACAGTCGCATAAGAGCCCATAGAATCAAAACTGGACCTGTGTGACTTTTGGTCCATGTTTGGTAGCCTTGAGGTCATCTCTGTACTCATAAAATATGACTACATTATTTCTTCGTTTAACAGAAGTATGTATTAAAACTGTATAATAGTCTTTTCCGAGAAAACAAATAAAAAATATTGATGAAGTATCTTGAACTTTTAACATTTTAAATATTTTTAACAAGATAAAATTAAGGAAATATGTCAAAGTGAAGAAAACAGTAGTTTCATTGGGTTACTAACACTAAAGCAGCATTAACCCTTTGATGCACAACATGGGTCTAAATAGACCCGACTGAGTTTTCATTTTCTATATCTTTGCAAGAAATTAATTTCATCATTCAGTATTCCAGGTATTCCTCAATTAACTTGTTTTAGATCATTACAAATCCTTATTTAAATTTTTCCTTTCTTACTTTTCGAATAAAAATCGTTTTTGTTTCACTACCCTTCTAATGCGCAACATGGGTCTAAAAAGACCCGTATTCATGTTTCTTTGCTGAATATTTGAAATAAATATATTTTATCATTTATTAATCCAGGTATTCATTAAATATCTTGTTTTTGATTTCCACAAATCATTATTTTTATTTTCCCTTTCTTACTTTATAAACAAACACGGTTTTTTGTATTTCTACATCAATTTTACACACATGGGTCAAAAATGACCCATATAGGAACCTTTGATATTTATAAATAGTATAAATATATTTACTGCAGAAAACTATTCACCTGCCACACATTTCAAAATTCAACACGGCTGCTTTTGTATATTTCATGCATGTAAGTTTTATTTAATACATTTTTTGTCACAGAAAATATTTGATATTTTGTGAAAGACATCTAGATATAGCCTAAAATTTGAACGTTTAGGCTAAGGTTACCTTGACCTTGAAATCCATTACTAGTGCAAAAGAGAAACATGTCCAATACTATTAGCTAGCTTGCGGTCGACATATTTTATTTTATCTAATGTTAGCTAGGTCAACAAAATAAAAGTTGCGATAGAAAGTTATATATACAAGTATTATATTGGTGCTGTTGGGCAGAAACCTTACCTGGGCAGTACCTCCATATTAATTTTTATTTGTGGTCATAAATCAATGCTATCGGTCACATAAGCTGTCATGTGGTGGCGTTCTGGTGCACTATGGCTGATGTCGCATCATCCGGGTGGATTCTGCACATTGGTGGCGGGGAGATCCCCCCTACAGTTGCACTACACTACAGTTCAATTTCAGTGTTATCGGTTATATGTGTGTTATGCGTGACAAAGTGGCCAATAAACATATTTTAAGTGTTACAGTAAATGTGTTGATCTAAACAACTGTGACAATGGTTATTTTAACAAAAAGTTTTCTTTATTCTTTTGTTTTATCACGTTTGCATAGATGGGTCATTTTAGACCCATGTGTGTAAACTTGATGTATTTACACAAAACCTAGGAAATATTAAAATATGAATTTGTGATAATTGAAAACAAGATATTTTGAATATTCATAAATCATGAAATTTATAGATCATGAAATAGAAAATGCTCAAATAAAGTGATTTCAAAAGGTGAAACAAAAAAATGCCGAGCCATGCATGAAATAACATAGGAAATGAATACGGGTCTTTTTAGACCCATGTTGTGCATTAGAGGGGGTATCCATAGCTTGCGCATCAAAGGGTTAACATACAAACAAACTGTTGAATCTACTTTTAACTATCTACTTTTACAGTAACAACAGAATATACCATTTTAAATACTATTACATAAAATCTACTGGGTGTGTACATAGGCTATACGTAAGACAATACACTCATTATTGTCATGCAGAACTGAAAGCCATCTGCGACTATCAGCACTTACACTACCTTTAGATTAACAAGTTCAGATTGCAACTACATTCTATTCGGCTGTAAATATCCACCGTCAAGTCTTTGCTCATCTCTAGAAAAGTAAAACAGCTTTCAACCAACATTCAGCTGAAGCAATGTGAAGCCAATGAAATCCAAAGCACATCATTTCCAGGAACTTACACTGAAAGCCTTCGGGAATTACATCACTGACACACACGCATAGGCTACACTCATTCAAACAAATGTAAAAGTATTCAGACAGACGAGAGACAGGAAACACGCATGAGCACGAACACACAGTTCAGAGTGCTAAAGGAATGTAAGACCATTCTGAGCCACCAATCCAGTTTCATCCAGAGAATTCATAAAGTGCTTTGTCAGCTTTTGCCTTACACCCAGAAGATCCCCCCCAAAAAAACCTCTACTGGCAATCATGCTAGCTCAAAAGTAGTGATACAAAAACACTCACTAAGTAATAAACATGAATCTTTTTAAACTAAGTCATGAAGTATGTATGAAATGATATAGAGTCACAAACAGCCCATTCTGACCAACATCATGTCCGTAAAAAAACATTGATACACTTAACAGGGGACAATGTACCAAATAATTTGTAGTTTTGATTTGTAATGTGCTCATCGCAAAACAGCTATATTATCTTCGCCTTGTTTAATGATTTGAATCTTGAATCTGAATTCTTGTCTGAGATTTTTTCTGCATCCGAATGCTGAAAAATGCTGCCTCCACAGGCGGCATATGGAGGTAGGAAGTAAACAAGGTACGTCCGAATCCTGTGATTGTATTACATCCTTTCTACTAAGATACCTTTATATGATCGATTTCTGAAGGCAGCATAGAAGTCCACTATCCTGTGTGTTTGATTCTGTGAAATAAAAATGAATAAAATGGCATCTGAAAGTTGCGGTTGATGAGTAAAGTGGATATTTTCGAACACTTAAATTAGGTAGTAATTAAATATTGGCTTAGTCATCACCAAAGCTCTCTCAGAATCCTGTCCGAAATCAGTTTTAGGAGGTACCTGCGCAAATGCTGCCTGCAAAGTCATTGACCGGCAGGCAGGCAAGGCAGCAAGTCAGCTGCCTAAGCCTATGGGTACAGCTTTTCTTATTGTCCTAGGTTACAACACAAGGAATTCACAAGGCCTAGTTTTTCCTCAAGCACTGCATGTTTTTTTAAGTGGGCCTTGTAACAACACTTTTACATAAATACCAAGAGAAACAAAAGAAGAGATTTTTGTGGTCATTATCGTGCATCATTTTATCCACAATAAATAATTTAGTGACTCAAAAGTCAGTATTTCAGAAGCAGCAAATAGTAAGTTGAAGTTAAATGGAGAAAATAGGAGAAAAATATTTATCCTACTTAGGGTCACATTATAAATAAATAAATGGGTGAATACATAAAACAATACATCATTTGCTGACTGTTTACTAAAATGTTTTCTAGCATTTTCTATAACAGGAGGTATAATTCAAGTAGTTCACGACAAATCCCATCACATTCTTTCCATGCAATCGTTTGACAAATTAACCCTGAATAACTACATTCATTGAACAACACTTGAAACATGAATTGAAACCAAATATTTGAAGAAGAAAAAAGCATGTTAGTATGAAAAACAAAGATGACACACTATAAACATTCTGTATAAACATACAAGCCACAGAGAAAAGAAAATCCTCTAATACACAAAAACATGGACACTTTACTGGAAGTGTCCTTTACTGGAAGTGTCCTTACCTGGAGCCCCTGGGTGTGATGTCTCGGACCAGAACATGTGGACGGTGTCTTCTAAACTATGGTGGACGACTAAGGCAAACCAGACCAGACCGGCGCAGGGTGATTCACAGGGGCAATGAGTCAATCATCCACAGCTATAAAAGGGAGAGTCCTGCTTGAGTTTCTCAATATGGACATCATCACACCAGAGGTAAGCACTCACTCATTCATTTCACACAGACACTCTTGTCCACATGGACATAAAACATCCCAATATGACCTTTATGTCAATGAGACTGATAAAATATTCATTCTTGTAACAATTTAATTCATTATTTTACTGTACTAAACAGGGTAACTGTATTGATTTCAAAGTTTTTTTATATGTAAACAAGTTTTTGAGACATTTGGATACTCTAACACTGCATACAATTAAACGTGACATATGACAATATGATTTGTTCTTTTTCAGAAAGATGCATTCTTCCCTGATCTTTTGCCTCTCAATGGCAGCTCTGGTGGCCATTAGCATCAGCCGACCCGCAGCTACAGAAGACAGGATACGAATCATGGTCCGAACTACCATCAGCAGAATTAAAAAAATCAAGGATGAGGTAAATGTTCTGCAGTGATTTAATCACCTTCATGTCGCTCCAAACCTTTATCCTTGTAACCTTTCTTTTTTCTGTGGAACACAAAAGAAGACTTTTCAGCATGTTGGGGTCAATAAAAAGTGGGCCACCATTGACTAAGTTTGCAGTTCCTTTCTGAGACAAGTTTCTCCTGTGTTTCACAATAGAAAGAAAGTTGTACAAGTTTGGAATAGCATGAGGGTGAGTAAATGATGACACTCAAGTTATTTTTGGGTGAACTATAATTGGAACAAGAGCATGTAGCTTGACTTTTTTATTTTGAGTCTTAATTCTCAGCCATTTAAAACATAATATTTTATGATTAATATTCTATGAAGCGATGTAAATTCATAGTTTCATTAATCTATTTTTTGAATGGCAATGGCAAATTAGAGCAGTTCATAATTCAATGAGTAGAAAATCATTTCTTTCTTTATTAGGCTTTAATTTTAGCATTCAATTCAACTTGATGTTATCATTTCATTTTGGGAGCATATGAGCACAAACTAACTAGCTGTAACTTTGTCTTTTGTGGAAGTGGGAAATTCAAGTCAAGCTCTGTACTGTCATTGTACATATACAAGAAAATGAAATGTAATTATTTATTGAAATGTTTGTATATGACAAGGGCGTGACTTCCCTTGGACACAGTTCATCAATTCAGCACATTAATCTCTAAATCTAAATCCGTCTCCACAGCACTTCCAGATGTCTCCAGAGATTGATTTTGGCCCTGACATTGACACCCCCATTGATGGTCTCACTTCTATTTTCGTTCACTTGAGCTACCTGCGGTTAAGGCTGCGAGTGCCTCCAGCCCAGCACCTACAGCAGGTCCAGGTGGACTTGGAAACTCTCCTGAGCACGTTGGAGGGACTGGCCATCTCACAGGGATGCCCCCTGCCCAACCCCGAGACCCCAGTGCACAAAGATGAAACGGCCTTCCCCGTTACCTCCAACTACCTGTACCTCCTGGAGATCCAGAGGTACCTAGAGAAGCTCTGCCTGAACATGGACAGACTAAAATGGTGCAAAGACACGGACGTGGCTGAGACGTTTGTATTCTGAAATGTGTAAGCCATGCATCATTCATTCTATGCATCACTCTCAAAAATGCACTTGCAAGGACTAGTTCTCGAAATTATTTGTTAACTTATTAAACTTGATTAATACTTTTTGAATTTTTCAATTTGTTTTTTTACACTACAGCTTTCTATTTTCTAAGCTATATTTTAATATTTTAATATGATGATGTTTTGTAGCACTGGGAAAGTTGAACTTGCCTGTAGATGTTTATTGTATTTTTTTATGTCAATGAATGTTTATTGTATTTTCTATGTTGGATTTTTTTTTTAAATAATTTTTTAAGACAATAAAATATCTTCACAAAAATCAACATTCCCTTTTCTTATTTTTGAAACAGAAAGAAAAAAATGTCAATACAACTAGGTCAGAAAATAACTTTATATGATATATTTTAGACTGATCAAAATCTGTAATTTTGAATGGTTTTTAAGGTTTACTTGGCAACGGCTCATACATTGTGTGGTAGAGTCGATTATTTTCCTGGATTTCTCATAAAACATGAAGAACCCCTAACAAGCCCAGTAGCCCACAGACAAAAGTGAGCCCACTTCTTGTTTTATTTTAAAATGTAAAAAAGAAAACGCATGCGTGAAATTATTTTTCACAGCAAATGTACGTTTCTTATTGTAATTTTGTTTGGAGTCAATCAAATATTTAGTTCTTGAGTTTTTTGTGAGGACGTGACGTGATCAGGACTTCCAAAAGATGTGATTTGTCTAGAAACTGGTGATGACACTGGCTGAGAATTTTTATAGGCAAGGCACAGGTAAAACCATTGTTTTTTCATGCACTGGGTAACTTTGAGGTTTTGGGCTGTTCTGCTTCCAGAACTTGTCTGTATTCAGATGCAGTACACATTTCTAAAGGCCCTTTTCTTAAAACAATCTGTATTATGAAGGTTTTTTACTGAGGGGTTTGCTTTTTTCGTACAAACAAGTTTATATTCAATGTTTTCCCTAAAAAATGTTTTTTGTTTTTCTGGCTGTTGGTATAGCTGGTATGAAGTGATAAAGAAAGACTCTCTGTAAAAATCTTTAACTTGAATATGTTAACAAAATGAAATAATTTTCAACATGGTTTTATAAAGAGTTCAGATTTCTGTTCTGGAAATGTGTGCAAATTGGCACATATTTCATATTTGGTTGTCATGTGTCAGCCTGTTGATGGTAATCACCAACAGGTGGATTAATTAATGCTAATGATGATATGACAATGCTGAATGCTATAGTTGAATGTGTTGTCAAAGTTGTCAAATTGTATTGTCGCTTAATATTGACCTTTACTCTATGCTTTTTGAGCGCATTCATTGGCTAATTCAGTCGTTTGCTCTGAGGGATGTTCGTAACAGTTGTAGGTAAGTTCCTGCTCCCTCAGAAAACACTAATAATTAGACATATTGATGCATTCACTGCTGATTCAGGCCTTAAAATGAATTCAGATAAGTCTCTATTGAACCCCTCAAAGATTGTTCCTCTAATTAGAGAATATTTAACATATCTCGGTGTAGTAGTTTGTAAAAATGAAAAACAAAGGAGTCAGTTACATTTTGAGCCAATTGTTGAGAAAAAGAAATTTAATTGGTGGTTAATAAGGGATATATCAATATATGGGAGGGTATTATTGTCAAAGGCGGAAGGTATCTCTGCATATACATCTTTATCATTAGATGTGCCTCCATATGGTGATTAAAGGGATAGTTCACTTTGAAATAAATTTTTTATATGTTTTAGCTTACCTCAAGGGCATCAAAGATGTAGGTGTCTTTGTTTCCGCAGTAGTTTCAATTTTGATATTTTTAGGTCAAACCGTTCTTGTCTGTCAGTCATATAATGCAGGTCTACGGTCACTTCCTCAAAGAGCATGCACAGAGAAGTCCAAATTAAACATGATTTAATGACTCGTAAATGTAAGTACACAATGATGGCCTAAGACACGAAACGAGCGGTTTGTGTGAGAAAACGAACAGTATTTATATCGTTTTTACCTCTTGTAAACAGCCACGTCCAAGTGATCTGAGGGTGCGGGCGCTTCGGTCTGTGCGTTGATGAAAAAAATCAAAAATCAACATGGATAATCTTTCTGGAAATATTTACATTAATAATGTTGATATTTAAAAAAAAATCAATGTAGCAATAAGGTTATAAGAAATGCTCTTTGTTCTGTGTCTTTTACTGCAGCAATATTTGTTGCTCTTTTTTATTTGGTAATATCTCTTGCATTGGACAAAGCATGGAAACAGTTTTATATCAATAACAAAATTAAGGAACTGTCTTACAAAATTCTTCACAGAATTGATCCTGTTACGCAGGTTTGGGAAAGATTTAAACTCAATATTTCATACAAATTTTGTTGACAAGAAAAGTATTTTGCATCTGTTTTTTTTTTAATTATTATATCTACACAGTATTATTTTGGAAAGTTTTATAAATCGATATAAATAGAAAACTGGAGTATAATAGATATATTTGATGTGCTTTTTTATTTTCTGAATGATAATTTGGAATGTAAAGAACATGTTATATTTATTATTTTATCAGTAAAATATCATAAAAGAAATGGGCTTTTTGCAAACCACATTTTTTCACATTTTATAAATGACTTTAAATTATTTGTAGCTAAATCTTTTGGAACAAACTAAAAACAAAAACTGTAATGCTTTGAAAGCACTGAAATAAAAGTATTAATTTTTTTCCTGGCAGCTAATGTTAATAATGTGATTATGGACAGTAAAACCTTGTTCTTGTGGCATTGAATAAATAAATAAAAAATAATAAAGTGCAGTTACACTTACCAGCAGCAGTCTGTGCTGCAAGTCCACTCACGCTGGTTTGAGTTTCAGCTTACAAATGGCTGGTTGGTTCAGCAGTCGTTCACTGGCAGGTTTGTAGTCTGCACTCGTTTGTTTTTGAGCAGGTACTTTAACGGTCCTTGTACTTTAACGGTCTTTGTATACACACTTTACACAGGTGATCTAATTTTCATGTATGTCGCTGCTTCCAATCATTTTCAGTAAGTTACACTTTTCTCTTAGTTGTGTGAGATAAATTATGTCAAATGGAGTGTACCGCTCATGACAGCATTTCTAGTTCTTGTTTTAAACGAACAATTTCGCTATAAACAAACACTATTCTGCCAAGTCACATATTTATCGCCACTCGACGGCATTTAAAGGAACACTCCGACTTTTTGGGACTTTAGCCTATTCACCTTATCCCCCAGAGTTAGATAAGTCCATGCATCCCTTTTTCATCTCCGTGCGTGCTATAAGTCTGTTTGACGCACCCACCGCTAGCCTAGCTTAGCACAAAGACTGGATGTAAATGGTTGCAGCTAGCATACTAATCCAAATAAGTGACAAAATAACGCAAATATTTTCCTATTTACATGTTGTGATTTGTATAGTCACAGAGTGTACAAAAAACAAAGTCACATGAGACACAGACATATTTTAACCGTATAAATACTGGGAATTATATTCTCTGAAGGCGACTATATTCTCTGAAGGCGAAGCACTGCTACTTGGGCGGAGTGATAACCGCAGCACCTGAGACGCGCCGTGGTGAGGAGCAGAGAGCGAGTCTCATGTGCTGCGGTTATCACTCCGCCCAAGTAGCAGTGCTTCGCCTTCAGAGAATATAATTCCCAGTATTTATACGGTTAAAATATGTCTGTGTCTCATGTGACTTTGTTTTTTGTACACTCTGTGACTATACAAATCACAACATGTAAATAGGAAAATGTTTGCGTTATTTTTTCACTTATTTGGATTAGTATGCTAGCTGCAACCATTTACATCCAGTCTTTGTGCTAAGCTAGGCTAGCGGTGGGTGCGTCAAACAGACTTATAGCACGCACGGAGATGAAAAAGGTATGTATGGACTTATCTAACTCTGGGGGATAAGGTGAATAGGCTAAAGTCCCAAAAAGTCGGAGTGTTCCTTTAAATGTACTATAAAATACTATATTTGATGTAGGACGATGACACAAGACCGACGGATATTTTTCAAACAAACTGACAAGCACGTGCATGTTCTAAAATTACTGGCGCGCGCCACAATAAACCGCAAAGCCTACTATGCTTTATTTAATAATAATAATTAAAAATAAATAAAAATAACATCACAAACAATAAAACGTAGCTTCACAATAAAAACAAAATATTTACAGTAGTTTAAAATACAGGGGGCTGTTCCATAAACCAAGATTAGAGTATAAGCCAGGCTTATTTCGGTTAGTCAAGCTTATTTTTGGTAGATTCGGTTTCATAAATCAAACTTAAAAAAGTTCAAACTCAGTTACCCTGGCAACTTATGCTGGGAAACTAGCCTGGTCCAGGGCAGGCTAACTGTCAGGCTAAGCCTCAGTTGTTACACAGATCCTCAACACTGACCGACAAGAACACAATGATATTACCACTGACAGTCTCTAATACCATTATTGGACTTTATAAATACACAGTATACAGAAAATCAACTTAAATAAGGCTACAATATAGACACATATATAAGGCGTTTTAAAGTTTTCCGTTTAGGACATGTCATTTTTGTAATAAAGACATTTTAATTAAGGAATGCCTCGGTTATCAGAGAATTCTTTCTCTACACTGTCTCTTATATATATATATATATATATTTTAAGTACTTTATTATGTCTTTCAATTCAAACACATTTAACACAATTATACAAATGGACAGTTCCTTTAAAGACATCATATTTTCCCCCAATAAATATTCCTTATTTTTCCTTCTACTTTTTTTTCTTTTGTGATAATACCAACACATACATATAAATAAAACAATAAATAAATATTAATAAAAATATAACATTCACATATATCAAACTCTTATAATGAATGACACATAATTCCTAAAAGTTATTCAAGTAATATTATTTAAATATCAAATATTCAATATTAAATAAGTAAATAAATAAAATAACAAATAACTAGAAATAAAAGGGAAGGTTACATAAAAATGTAGTTAATGTAGGCCAATATATATTCCTTTATTTTATGGAATATTCTTTGATTTTAGAGTTGCACATATCTTTTCAAAATGTATACATTTGTTCTTAATTTAATGTTATCCTCTCCATAATGTACTTTAGAAACTAAATCTA